TGAATTTGTTTTTGGAACTGTTTTGAAAAGAGTTAAACAGTATCTGGGTATTAAAACAGTTTGAAAGAGTTTGTGGAAAAACAGAGTTTTCAACTGTTTTGAGGAGAACAGATTGTTCTTGAGAATAAAAGGTTTTGAGTATAAACCTATGTTGGAACCATGATATTGGTTTGAGGATTATGAATAGGTTCACTCTGACAGGTAACTGAGGTCCGTCTTTGGATGAACTACATCATATTAATGAGCAGGAGGATATAAGGGTGGAACATCATGCAAAGGGGATAATCTGGAGGATATAAGGTGGGACGGTATCGGCATCGCCTAACTCTTACCATGATAACTATTAGAGTTACAACAAATTAGAGTTCTCACTTCTTGGTGATTTGAGGATTTAGAGATGTTGTCTTTAGTAGAAATGATGGTAATGATGTGATGGTATTGGAGATAATATACTTGAGTAATAATGCTTTGGGTAAAAGCATTGATTATGAGGGAACAGAGGAGCTCTGGTTATACCTTGCAAGGACCAGAGAAGCTCTGATTGACTTTCATAATGGAACCAGAGGACGCTGGTTATTTATGAAAAATCTTTTATAAGATTTATTGGTTTGGAAAAATAAGCTTTATATCTTGAGAAAAAAGCTTAGTGATTTGATTCATTGTTTTGAAATGGTTTTCTGAAAGAGTTTTTTTTATACCTAGTCTTTTTATGAAAAACATACCAGAGAAGCTCTGGTTGACTTACATGTTGAACCAGAGGGGCTCTGGTTGGTCATGTCTTTGGAACCAGAGGCTCTGGTCGAACATGAATTTTTTATAATTGCTCGTTTTGTGTAAAAGGCTATCTTATTAATTGAAGGTTTATCTAAAGATCGTTTTTGAGAAATTATATGAGTCAAAGGTGCTGGTTAGTACAACCAGCGGCTCTGGTCATGAAGACCAGAAGCTCTGGAAGAGCGACCAGAGGAGCTCTGGTCCTGTATTGAAAATTATTCTAAGTGTGGTTTAAGACCAGAGGCTCTAGTCGTGAAGACCAGAAGCTCTGGAAGAGAGACCAGAGGGGCTCTGGTCCTGGTTGTCGAAATATTTTCTAAGTGTTGTTTGAGACCAGAGGTCCGATGGACCGAAGCAGTATGTTTTTAATTTTGCTTCATATGTTGAATGAT